TCCCGCTGACCCCGACCCCTGTCCTTGCAGGTTTGACGACATCGACCTGCCCTCCGCCGTCAAGTACCTCATGGCCTCGGACCCCAACCTGCAGGTGCTGGGAGCCGCCTACATCCAGCACAAGTGCTACAGTGACGCGGCGGCCAAGAAGCAGGTGAGCGGCCGTGGTCTGCGAGCGCCCGCGCCGGTGCCCCTTCTCGCTGCCCCGCGCCCACGGGCGACCCGGGCCCGCAGAGCCGTCCCCGCAGCGCAGGGGGAGGCGCTCGCGATGGGCACACCTCGGCCTGGCCCTGTGTGGCTGTGAACGCATCTGTGCACACCCGCGCGCCGCCCGCACAGCCGCACGCGTCCACCCGCACCGAGCCACGCGCACTCGTGTGCTGACACCCGCCTGCCCGTGCGCAGGCCCGCAGCCTTCAGGCGGTGGCCAGGCTGGTGAAGCTGTTCAACCACGCCAACCAGGAGGTGCAGCGCCACGCCACCGGCGCCATGCGCAACCTCATCTACGACAACGCGGACAACAAGCTGGCGCTGGTGGAGGAGAACGGCATCTTCGAGCTGCTGCGCACGCTGCGGGAGCAAGACGACGAGCTGCGCAAGAACGTCACAGGTGTCCCCGCGCCTCCCCCACCTGCTGTCCCTCTGCCTGTCCCCGCGCCTCCCCCTGCCTGCTGTCCCTCTGTCTGTCCCCTCCACTCCCCTCCGGCCCCGCTGCTGTCCTGGTGCACACCTCTGCGGCCAGCCTCCAGACCCCTGGTCCCTGAGCATTGTCCTGTCCTCTGTGTCCCGCCCCGAGACCTGCAGCTCACATGCAGGCCCTCTAGTGCAGCTCTTGGGTGAGGCCCCAGATGCCTCGCTGGCGGGCAGGAGGGAACCCGCAGGCTGTCACTGACCACAGCCACGGCCCCACCTGCCCCAGGGATCCTGTGGAACCTGTCCTCCAGCGACCATCTGAAGGACCGGCTGGCCCGAGACACACTGGAGCAGCTCACGGACCTGGTGCTGAGCCCCCTATCAGGGGCTGGGGGACCACCCCTCATCCAACAGAACGCCTCCGAGGCTGAAATCTTCTATAACGCCACGGGGTTCCTCAGGTGTGCGGGAAGGGGACAGTCAGCTGGGAGAGGCCAAGAGGGTGGCCATGGGGAGAGAGCTGAGTGCCTGTAAGGGGGCAGGGGAGGCCTGGAGAAGGGGCCTTTGACTCTGAGGGCCAGTGGCAAGGCGGATGGGAGGGGGCTGGAGGGCGAGGCACTGGCACCCGTGCAGAAGTGAGACCAGAAGCTGGGTGTGGCTGCGATGTCCGATGTCCCAGGCCCTGGGCATGGCGGGCTCAGATTTCATCAAATCGGGGACTTCATCAGACAGTCATAATCCCCATCTGGATGCTTGGAGGGCCAAATGGATGCTAAGCAGCAGGGCCCAGCTCCGGGAGGAGGAGGCGGGCTGGGGCTCAGGGGCTCCCCTCTGGGGTTTGGTTCCCACTGGGGATCTCGGATCTGCCTCCGCCCACAGGAACCTCAGCTCAGCATCCCAGGCCACTCGCCAGAAGATGCGTGAATGCCACGGGCTGGTGGATGCCCTGGTCACCTACACCAACCACGCCCTGGATGTGGGCAAGTGCGAGGACAAGGTGAGAGGCAGTCATCACCTCGGGGCCCTGGGGGTTTCTAGCCCATTCTGACCACGGCCTGCCATCTGCAGAGCGTGGAGAACGCCGTGTGCGTGCTGAGGAACCTGTCCTACCGCCTGTATGACGAGATGCCGCCGTCCGCCCTGCAGCGGCTCGAGGGCCGGGGCCGCAGGGACATGGCTGGGGCGCCACCCGGCGAGGTGGTGGGCTGCTTCACACCCCAGAGCCGGCGGCTCCGAGAGGTGGGCGCGGGCCTGGCAGCCGGGGTGGGGGGCCCTGGCCTGAGCCTGGCTGACCCTCCCCGCCTCTCTCCAGCTGCCCCTCACGGCCGACGCTCTCACCTTCGCCGAGGTATCCAAGGACCCCAAGGGTCTTGAGTGGCTGTGGAGCCCCCAGATCGTGGGGCTCTACAATCGGCTGCTGCAGCGCTGTGAGCTCAACCCGCACACGACCGAGGCGGCCGCTGGGGCCTTGCAGAACATCACGGCGGGTGACCGCAGGGTGAGGCCCCGGCCCAGCCTCTCACAGGGGACACGCGGGGAGAACAGGGGCTCACGGGAGGGCTGGTGTGGATTCTGTTGGGGCGGGACAGCAGAGGAACGCAAACCTGCGGAGGAGCCGACATCGGAGGGACCGGCCTGACGTGCTACAGAGGGACCCCGAGGGGTAGCAAGGGGTGTGAGGCCAGCGTCCCCGGCCGGGCAGGCTCTGGAGGTCCCTGAGGATTTAAGGAGAGGTTTGAGCAGAGGAGGGGCCCACCCGAGGCACAGTTGGTGAGGCTCCTGGCTGGGGCTGAAGGCAGAAACAGGAAGACCTCTCAGGAGAGATACAGTGTGGGGCTGGTCCCACCTCAGAGTCTCGCAGATTGGCTGGGGACAGCGAGGGACACAGAGAAGAACCAACGTGGGGTGCAGGCCACGGGGCTGGGGCTCCGCCCGCTCTCACCAGCTCCTCTCCTCCCCCACCCCCACCCCCCGCAGTGGGCGGGCGTGCTGAGCCGCCTGGCCCTGGAGCAGGAGCGTATCCTGAACCCGCTGCTGGACCGGGTTCGGACCGCTGACCACCACCAGCTGCGCTCACTGACTGGCCTCATTCGAAACCTCTCTCGGAACGCCAGAAACAAGGACGAGATGTGTGAGTCGGGCCATCCCGAAGCCTGGGTTCCGTCCTCACCCTGCCTCGCTGGGCTCACACCTGGATTTTCTCTTCTGCTCTCCATTTGGGCTGGCCTCTGGCAGCTGGAGCTGGGGGGATGGACGGGGCTGGGGGGACCGGAGGTGCTCAGGTGGCTGGGAGTGGAGGTGGAGGCTGGCTTCCCAACCCCCCGACCTCCTGGCCTCCCGGCAGCCACCAAGGTGGTGAGTCACCTGATTGAGAAGCTTCCTGGCAGCGTGGGCGAGAAGTGTCCCCCAGCCGACGTGCTGGTCAACATCATCGCTGTGCTCAACAACCTGGTGGTGGCCAGTCCCATTGCCGCCCGAGACTTGCTCTACTTTGACGGGCTCCGAAAGCTGGTCTTCATCAAGAAGAAGCGGGACGGGTGAGCCCCTCCCCATCCCCGCACCCCTCCCCATGGCCCCGCGAGTCTCCCTGCTGACTCCCGCTGCCACCCCCCCAGCCCAGACAGTGAGAAGTCCTCTCGGGCAGCCTCCAGTCTCTTGGCCAACCTCTGGCAGCACCACAAGCTCCACCGAGACTTCCGGGCGGTATGTTCTGGCGACCTGGGGCAGGCAGGGCTACCGGTGTTTGACCTGGGTATAGGACGTCGAGGGGGCAGGGTGGGAGGAGGGGTGCGGGGACAGTGGGAGGGGGGACAGACCCGGGAACTCCCGCAGAGCAGGAGACTCAGGAAGTGGGAAACGTGAGATCGGAGACCAAAGACCCAGAGGGGATCCAGGCCCAGACCAGGAAGGGTGGGGGCCTGGGGAGAGCAGGGCTCAGAAGGCAGGCACCCTAACTCTGGGCCCCCTCTCCACTGCAGAAGGGTTATCGAAAGGAGGACTTCCTGGGCCCATAGGTGAGGCCTTCCTGGAAGAGGAGGATGCGACGTGGCCCAGCCTCCAAGGGATAGGCTCAGCTCTGCGCTGCTCACTGGCCAGGCCACTGGAGAAGGCCGATGGCCTGGGGCCTCTTGCTGGAGCCCTGCATGTGCCAGAAGGCTGATGGCCTAGGGCCTCTCACTGGAGCCCTGTGTGAGCCCTTAAAGGGCCTGGGGCACCAGGGAGGGGACGGGTGCTGGTTGCAGGGACTTGGCTTCTATAGGGCAGGGGGGAGGATAGGGCTTGAGGCTGCTCTGGTGCGTGGGGTGTGGGTGGTGACCAGGTCACATTGGCAAAGGTGGAAACAGCCAGTGCTGGGAATAAAGGTGGTCATGAACACAGCCCTGCAATTTTCTTTGGCCAGCCCAACCTGGGGGCCCAACCCAGGGATACAACCCAGTGTCCCCGAGCACAACCATGCCTGGCCCTGAGGGAGCTCCCGCCCTGAGCACACCCAGAGGCTTCTCCAGGTCAGGAGGCCCAGGACAAGGAAGAGAGAGTAACCCTTGGGGAGAGCTGGCGAGAGTGGAAGGAACAGGGTAGACGGCAGAGTCAGCCCTGATGCCGGCTGAGGCCCAGACACAGCAGAGCTGGGGACCTTGTGCAGAGGAGTGAGCACTACTGGGAGAGCTGCGAGCTCTCCTGGCTTCGGTGCCACCTGCTGGGCTGTCCTCTTGTGGCACACGCACCCAACACCCTGCCTCCCTCGGCCTGGGGGCTCCTGGCCAGGGACTCGCACTGTCCGACGGAGTCCTGGGATCCCACGTCACCAAAGCAGGTCCACTGTTTTTATAACAAAAGACTTCTTCCTTAAAGCTCAGAACCTGGGGGCGCCTGGGTGGCTCAGTGGGTTAAAGCCTCTGCCTTCAGCTCAGGTCATGGTCTCAGGGTCCTGGGATCGAGCCCCGCATCGGGCTCTCTACTCAGCGGGGAGCCTGCTTCTCTCTCTCTCTGCCTGCCTCTCTGCCTACTTGTGATCTCTCTCTGTGTGTGAAATAAATTTAAAAATCTTAAAAGAAAAAAAAAAAAAAAAGCTCAGAACCTGAAGAGGAAGGGGCCTGCCCCCTCCCCCAGAACCTGGCTGGATCAGAATAGGGTAGTGGACAGTCATGTCCCCAAACAGACAGACCAAAGAGGCTACTACAGGAGATGTTTCTGAGCTGGCTCAGGAGGGAGGATGGACGACAGGACGGCAGGGACAGCCGGATCTATGACGGAGTTGAGGAGCCCGAGGGCCACTGATGGCAGAGACGGAAGTGAGGGGTGCCCCGCTCAGGGGCTGCAGACCCCCTTCCGGACCCAGGAGAGGAGAAGAGAGGCTGAGGCCCAGGCAGGATCTAAAAGGACTTTATTTTCTGGCACAAGGAGGCACAATGGAGCAGCTCCCTTGCCTGAGGGTCTCAGGGCTGGTAGTCCTGCTAAGAGGAGAAAGATCCCAGCCCACCCAGCGCCCAGCGGTCCTTGGAGCACTTGCTGTTTGGGCCGGCGGGGGCTACACGTCATCCTCGGACACCAGGCAGTAGAAGTCCGTGCGGGCGCTGTAGTTGCGGGAGCCGAGGTCTGAGACATCCACTTCACTGCCCCGGCCCTCTCCCAGCGAGACCGCACTGGCATGTGGTGGAGCTAATGGCTCCCCAAAGACGGGCCCCCGGACACCTGGGATGAGGGTACCATCAGGCCTCCGGCTGGGCTGCCCACAGCCTGGCCCACGCATGGGGGTCCCTCCCTGCTCACCCTCCTGCCACGGTGGCATTTGAGGTCCTGGAGGTTCCCAGGGAGGCCCCAGGCCCAAGTGCCCCCAGAAAAGAGGCAGTGGGAGTGTGCTATGGCCTGCAGGGAGGAGTCTCTCCACCCGGACCCCTTTCTGGGCTCCTCAGCCCTGTGGACCACCCTCCCCCCCCCGACCCAGCCCAGGCCAAGCTTCTCCGGCTCAGGGGTAGGGCCAGGGGAGCCTACCCAGGTCCCCCTCAGGGTCGGGGTCCTGCTCCAGACTCAGGGTCCCGCGCTCCCGGACGCGGCCTTGTGCGATGAGCATGGGGTCTTTGTCGTCCTGCAGCCGCGTCTGGGGGTCTCCCTCCGCGGCTCTGTACCGCACCTTCCGCGGCAGCGCCAGCTGCAGCTCTTTCCAAAAGTCTGAAGACGGCGCCTGGGGGCCAGGATGGGTCCGTTAGCCTGGCCACCCCAGAGAGCACCCCTGGAAGGGGCGCTCCCGTCTCAAAGGAGGCCCCTCTTCTGGGCAGCAGGCCGCAGGGCCCACGCGGTCCCGGTCCCAAATCCCCAGAGCACACAGCGGCCCGCAGAGGGGCCCCCTCCGGAGCACGGGACCGCCGGCCCTACGCCGGGCCCCTGCCCGCGCCCTCTCCTCACCACGGAGCCGGGCCTCCAGAGCAGCAGGGTCACCAGGTGGCGGTGCTGGCGCAGCAGGCGGAGCGCGGGGTGCGCGGGGTCGCGCCTCTGGCCCTCGAAGGTGATGAAGATGGGTCTGCGCGTGAGCTCCAGCAGCCGGCACAGGCCTTCCCTGCGGGGGCGGGGCCGTCAGGGGGGCCGCGGCCGGGGGCCCACCCATCCCCGCGCGGGACCCACCGGAAGCTGTGGCTGCACCAGGCCCGGCCGAGGAAGGCGTCCGACAGCACCACGATGAGGCGCCGGCAGCGGCTCAGGTTCACCAGGAGGTCGGCGGAGGGCTCTGCGGGAACCGGGCGTCGGCGGGGCCGGAGCGGTGGGGTGGAGTGGGGGGGGGGGGCCTGGGGGGGGGGGGGGGCCCGGCCCCAGAAGGGGGGGGGGCGGGGCGGGGCCCGAGGTACCCGCGCGCGGCAGGAGGTCGCGGTCATCCAGGAAGAGCTTGTAGCCCCGCCGGCGCTCGAGCTGCGGCTTCAGGATGAAGTTCACGAATTTCCGGTCCTCGGGGCTGTCGCTGTAGGAGACGTAGGCGTCGTAGAGCTTCCCGTCTGCGGACGGCGGCGGGTCAGCGCTCCGCTTTCGAGGCCCGGGCCCACCGCCCCCACCCTCCCGCGTCTTCTAAGCTCTCCCCACGTGCGTGCGGGGACCAGGCCCTCCCGCCGCAGCCGGACCCCGCAGATCCGGCACACGCGCCCGCAACCCGCCCCCGGGCCGCGCCTAGACGGTCTCTCAAGCGCTGGACTTGGGCCGCCCGGCCGGCTTCTGCCCACCTCGCCCCTCTCCGGGGCTATGTGCTCGGCAGAGCCTGCGGAGGGCCGTCGCTTCCCCGCTGCAGACCTGCAGACCCGCGCCCACCCCTCACTTGCCGGGGCAGCCCGCCCACCCTGATCTGAGCTCATGCTCCCTCCTTGCCCATCAGGCCCGCACACCGTTCATCTCCACCTCCCCATAGGCGTCCTGGTACCAGAGCAGCACACTGAGTCGACACTTCATGTAGAGCAAGGCCGCCAGGAGCAAGACCAGCAGGACCAGGAGTGAGGCCAGCACCGCGGCCACGTGGCCTGCTGGGCCTGGGGACAGAGCCACAAGCCTGAACCAGTGCCACCCCCACCCAGCATCCTCCCAGCCTCAAGGCTCCCCAGGCCCCCTAGGCTTCCCTTCTACCTTCCGCCCACTGTACCCCACTCACCAGCTCTCCAAAGGGTGAAGGGGGAGGAGCTGACGTTCCGGATGGAGCAGGTAAAGGCCCCATAGTCCTCAGCACGGGTCAGGTTGACCCCCAGAACACTGGACACAAGCACCTCTGAAAAGTTGTTTTTGACCCTGGGGAGATCAGACCCAGCCCTCTCACCTGGGGCCTGAGAGGATCACTGGATGCCCCTGGGCCCCACCTATCAGACTTAACCACAGAGGCTGCAGACATGGGCTTCCCGAGCAGTCCTTGCCCCGCTAGCTAAGAGAAGTGGCCAGAACATGGTGGGGGTGTGGCTCTGTTTGAGGATAGTCACCCAGATCCTGGGTCTGGATTTTGGGGGTCAATGCCTAATTCAGGCTGTAGGATTGTGCTGGTATGCATGGTCCTGGGCTGTCTACAAGGTGCATGTCCGCAGGGGTCCCCTGTCCCTGCTGTCACTAACCCTTAGTCTGTGTCAAGAGTGGCACTCTGCCCATGTCCAGGGGGTTATGGACCAGGGCTCAGGTGGTCGTGGGTGTGACCGGGGTGGTCACCTGACCTGGATTTCCATCTCTTACCAGGAGTCTTCATGGAGGTCATAGTGGCTCCCGTTGCCCAGCGGCAGCCTGTCTTTCAGCCACTGGACTGAGGGCGGGGAACAGTGAGGCCCAGAGACCACCCAGGCCGTGCAGTTCAGAGCCACGACACTGCCCAGGGCAGGCTCCAGGGCCTGGTTTCCAGTTGGGGATAGGAACTCAGGGGCCCTGTCACAGATGCCTACAGAGAGAGGACCCAGGGGTTAGCCGTGCCTGGAATGCTGGGCTCCCCCCAACCACAGATGTTCTGTGGGCCAGGAAAAAAATAAGATGTCTGTGCACAGGTCCTACAGGGGACAGGGCTTGTATTCCCCCAGGAGCAGCTGGCTCTTGGGTGTTCTGCCTGCTCTTGATGTGGCTGCTCTGTCCTCAGAGAGGACGCTGGAAGGCGGGGGCCAGAGTCACAGCATATCTGACCCCCCCCCAGCCCCATGGGGGCCCACCTGGCTGCTGCTCACCCAGCCAGGACATGAGCCCAGCTCCCACATGTGCTGTGTAACTCTGTGGCCGACTGCTGCAAGACCCACCCCGGGTGAGCAGCTGTGCGCTGCCCCCCTTACCCCGCCACTTCTGCTGGGGGAGCTGCCCCAAGTGTGAACGCTGAGCAGGCCAGCACTTTCCACCCGGAATGGGGGCACGGGACTCCAGGACCCTCTCCTCCTGGTCATGGGCAAGCTTGCCCTGCTCCCTGGGACCTAAATGTTCTGATTTTCAAATCAGGGTGAAGAGTCCTAGTGGGACATGAGAGGAGACCCCCATCATCTTGATGGGGTGGTCTCTTGGCAGCCCACATGTACCCATCCTGCCCCTGGGCCCTGCTACCAGCTCCCATTCCCAGTGTCCCTGAGCTCTGCTGACCCCCACGACCGTGGTATGGAAGCTTTGGGCCAGAGAGAGCTCTGGGCCTGTCCTAACCATGGGGTCAGGACCTCGGGCTGTGTAGGAGGGGCAAGCGTAAGCCTTTGTACCCATGGCTGGAGGCCAAGCCAAGGGCCCCAGCAATGCCACAGCGTGGAACCAGCCTGAGGGACAGGAGGGGGAAGTGGGGCCCGTGCCTGTCCCTCTTTGACCCGTCTACCTGCCATGGTCTGGCTGGGGCCTCCTCGAGGCAGGCTGGTCACTGGTGCCACCCCCCGGTTCCACGGGGCTCCTTGGATGAGCAGACGAGTCCCCTGGGGGCCGGGCGAGACTCACTCTGTCTTTGTGGATGGTCAGTCAGGGCACCAGAACGGGTCAGAGGCTGCTGCCATCCCGAAGGAGGAAGTTAAACAAGAACAGGGTGAGTTAACATGTAACTTTGCACCGGCGGCCTCCCGATGCTAGGGACACCCGCACAGACAGCATCACTTGGAACACGTTGCCCAGGGCTGGAGCGGGCACAGCAGGGAGGGGCCCTTGGATGGCACTGCACCTGTCCCAGGGCCACCATGAGGGCCCAGGGAGGGACCACAGAGGCACACCCTGGCAGCCCTCATAAGGGTGGGAGGTGGCTGTGTTCCCACTATTCCCTGGGATGGTGGTGCCACATACAAGGAAGGACACGGGGAGGGCCGTGCTCACCCAGGCCGTGGCAGGGGTTGGGGGCCTGTGAAACTTGCCCATCCCCACGCGTTAAGTGTGGGCTGCTGAACTCTGAGCCACACTCTCACTGTAGGGTTCTGTCCTAGCCGTGTCCCGTGTGTGTGGCTGTGTGGACATAGCAGCCCCCAAGGCCAAGCCAGGACACAGTCATGGAGGCAGGAGGGGACAGCGGGGGCCTGGGTGGACTGACTCTGCTCCGACAGGCCGCATGGGTCCCACCTCCTCCTGGCATCCCCTCACCCGTTTGTCATTTCCAAAACCAAAGACTTTTGTCCACATTGTCTGGCTCTCCAAGGGCAGCCCCCACCCCACCCACAGGTGACTCTTCTGTCCTACGTGGGGGCTAAGACCACTCCCCATCCAGCTGCGCAGAAGCCATACATGCCTCCTGACACGAGGAGCTCTGCAGTGATGGTGCTGGAAGGAGGGGCCCAAACCCCCAGCGTCAGAGCCTTCATGGAGAGCCTCCCTCCTGGACCCCCGGAGCCCTGCGGCCACCCCCTCCCAGGTGCCCAGGTTCCCCCAAGGGTCCCAGCAGGTTCTCATAGAGCACTGATTCCACTCCTGCCACAGGCCGTCCTCCCCACTCTGCAGGCCCTGGGGCTTCACAGGGATAAGTCTCAGCCTCCCCACCATTCCTTCTGCGTGATGACACCGCGCCGACCTGGCCCCGCCTTGCCACAGCCAGAAGCCCTGGGTTTGGCTGGGATGGGATCTCCTTGGGAACTGGAGAGCATCAGCCGGGGAAGTGGTGAGGGGTTTCCTTCCAGAAGCCCCCCGGTGGAGCACAGTCTTGAGGGTCCTCGAAGCAGGAGAACCAGTCCACTGGGGGGCTGTGGAACTCTGGGCAGCTCACATCCCCCACCCCAGGCTGCCCAGAAGGATATGCCCTCAGCTGGGCAGCTCCCAGGGAAACCCCTGCAGCGGCCCTCCCACCTCTTCAAGCTCAGAAGAGCCCTAACCCCTGGAAAGGCAACCTTGAACCTTCCTGGAAGTTAAGGCCCAATGACACATCCAGGGACAGGGGACCCCCGCCTGCACCCCACCCCCACATCATCTGTCTTGCACACCCCATGCACACACACCCTCTCCCCACACACAGCTGTGCTAAACTCCCGTCTTGGAGTGTGTACCTGCATGCACACTCTCCACACCAGCACCGTGGCCACACACACACACACACACATCCTTGCAACAGCTCCCACCAGGTGCGTAGCCACCAGCATCTGCACAAACCCCACACGGCACACACCGTCCCTGAGCCCGGCCCCTGCTGCTGTGGCCTATGGCCTGTGGCCCGTGGCCTCCGGACAGCCTCCTGCCCCCCCTGCTCTGATGGACACACACATACCATGCCCACACACGCTGCGGGCCTCCCCTCAGCCAGGCCTGCCTCAGAGGACCCGCCTGGGGTTCGAATGGAGTCCGAGGATGAGTGCCCAGGCTCATGCTGGGCGGCAGGGCTGCTGTGGGAGTACGCGAAGTCACCTGGTTCCGGGTCTCTCCTCCTGGGGGGGGATGTCGGTCACTGAGGTCATTGACGTGTGCTTGGGGGCAAACTCTTTGCTCCACAGGGCCCCCAGCCCGGTCTGCGACACCACAGCACCAGGACACATCACCGAGCACAGAGAGGACCTGTCTTTTGTTCGTGTGTGTGTTAATCAGAACTTTCCCTGTAGCTTCCTGGCTTTGCAGTCACATCCTCTCCTAGACCCAAACCCCACCCAGGCAGCCACCAACCCCCCAGGCCGTTGGTGGCTCTCGCCCCGCCCGCCCGCCTTGCTTCTTCCTGTAACTCTGAGTCAAGCGGCTCCTTCCTCTGGGGCCCACCCCAGCCCACCCAGGCATCAGACTTCCCGAGGCCCCGCCTGGGGGTGGACAAGGCCTTGCGGAGGGGCTGGAGCCCAGGGGGATGTGGGTGGGGGTGCTCCCAAGGAGACACCCAGGGGGATGTGTTGTGCCCACACAAGGAGACCCAGTGGGACAGTGTGGCCTGCTTCCCGAACACTGCCGGCAATGCTCCCCTCGGGCTGGTGGGGGTCTGTGGGCTACTCCCCCTCACGCCAGTGTGTCTGAGCTGTGACCTGCCGGGGTATGGAAGGCGCTGTGCAAATTCCTGCCAATAATGGGGCCTTGAGCAGAGCTTTTGGGCCTCCTCCCCATCCAGTTCCCCCATAGAGTCCCCAATAGTGAGCAGTTAAAAGGGGGCTGTGGTATCAGATGGACCTTAGTTTTGGGCTGGGATGGGAGGATAGTACCCCCCCACACACACACCCTTTTCCAGATAAGGAGGTGGAGAAAGGCCTCGACAGAGGCTCCTGGGCTCTGAGCCCAGGTGGAGGGCAGCCATCCTCTCCCTTTGTCACCACTGACTTCCCTGCCCAGACTGACTTGGGACTCAAGGCCCAGCAATAGGGGGGCTGGTATCACTGCCCACAGAGATCGCACAAGGGTCCCCTTCAGGCCCTGGCCCTGTTCTCACCTGCCCAGGCTCAGAGGCCCATCAGTGGGTCCTCTTCAATATCAGCTCTCCTGTGCCCTCAGTCTGACCCCATCCTGGTGGCACTCTGCATCCCCCCCACCCCACCCCCCGTGGCCCTCAAGACCTTGAATGATGGTGCATCTTGGGCTCAGGGCTCCACAGAGCCGCAGGAAAACCTGACTGCACACTCACCCCAGGGGCCTCGGCTTCCTGGGTGTACACTAGCACCAGCACCAGCCCTCCTCCAAGGTGCTCCTGGGGCCCTGACGCCCAGGTGACCTCCCACAGCCGTGAGGGACCTGCATGGAACCCCCGGGGCAGAAAGCAAAGAGCCCCTCTCGAGTTCCTGCCAGGCGGCTTCCGCTCTGTGTGTCCCCCTGCGTCACCAGCTTGCAGCCATGACTCCCTTCTGTTGTTAATCACCTCCAGGCCCACCCTCTAAGGTCAGCGCCAAGAAGCCCATGTGGCCTTAGGCACTGTCCCGAACTGCCCTTCCGAATCCAAGCCCCCTCTCCCACCCACACCGCAGTCTGCCCCACAGCCCATGGTTCCTGGAAAGCTCCAGCTCCCGAGTGTGTCCTGGCTTGAGCTGTGCCCCCCGCCCCCCCTTCGCGGTGAGAGGCGATCTCCCCATTGCCCACCCTCCGCCGTCTGCTTTGCGGCTTCGCACCCCATCGTCTCTAGCATCTCCTGCTCATCTGGGACGCGCTGCGCCCCCGACGTGCCTCCCGCAAGCGAGGGGCTCCGTCCCGCTCCCCTGGGGCCACAAGGGCCCTGTTCTCCTCCACTACACACCCCACCTCCCGCTGTCCGCCTTTCGGAGTGGAGGACCAGACTTAGTCCCCCACCCAGCAGGTGCAGCGAGCAGGCTGGTTGGGGCGGGCGCAGAGGGTGGGGACTCGGGTGGCGAGAAGGGAGCTCGGAGGCCGAGGCGCTCACAGAGAGCGTAGGGCGGGTTGGGGCGCGCACGAGGGGGACGTGGATGACAGGTCGGAGTGCGCATGGGGGCAGCACCGGTGGTGTGCAGGCCTGGCGCTGCGGGTCTGGGACGCAGACGGAGGGCGGGAGCGCGCACGGAGAGCAGGGGCGCGCGCATGACAGTAGCTCCGCCCGGCGACCGGCGCCGCGCTGGGCCCCAGCCGGGTCCTCGGTGCACCCCCGGGGCCCTGGGAGGCCCGGATCCGAGCTCCCGGCAGAGGGAGGGTCCCCGCGCGCCTCGGCGTTCCTCCTCCCTCCGCTGGGCGAAGGTCAAGAGGAAGCCACTGCCCACGTCGGGCGGAGCGGGAAAAGCGGCCCTTGCCGCCCCCCCCACCCCCGCCCCGCCGCCAGCCCAAGGGACGCGGACAAACTCGGGCTTCCGGGCGACGGGGGCAGCCGGCCGAACTCCGAGCCACTTCCTGCGGGACCGCACCCGCCGCGGCCCAGAGGCTCTTCTGGGCAAGGGGCCCCCTGGCTCCCAAGCTCCAAGCCCAGTCCCGGCTCCCGGAAGCCAGCGACCTCCACTCAGCCCCCTGGGTCTGAGCCACTCACCTGCAGCCAAGAGCTAGGGCTCGCGCGACCGCGGGGACGGGCCGTCTCACCTGGGCCAGGTGCGCAGCGGCGACGAGCCCGGCGGCGGCAGGTGCAGCCCCGCCCAGCAGCCAGGGCCGGAGGGCGGACCCAAGAGTCCCCCTTTGCGCCCAAGTCTGGCGCTTAAGACTGTCCTGCTCGCAGGCGTCAGGAAGCCTCGGAGCTGCAACCACCCCGCATGGGGGCACAGGGCCAACCAGCCCGACCAGCCAGAGAGTCTTGGACCCGAGGGACTCCTCACAGTTTCCACTGTCCCCAGGGGCACCTTTGGTGGTTCTGCCCCTCCTCCCCAGTTCTTCCTCCAGGAAGCCTGCCTTGACTCCTGCCCCAAACCCCAAGTGTGGGGAGGGTAGGACCTCAGTAAAGCACCCCTCACTTGGGAGCCCAAGGAATGTTGAGAGGAGGACCAGGACACTACCACATTCCAGACCTTTCCCCATCTGGACTCCAGTTTCCCATCTAGCCCTGAGGACAGACACAATCCACCAGTGGCCCAGAATCAACAGAAAAAGTGTTCATTTTACTCTAGAAAGTTCTGTAGACAGAGGGGAGCCAGAGAGGTGGGGTCAGGGTCCCCTGGCCGGCCAGGAGGGTGGTGGGGCAGGACCTGGGTCCCACAAGTCAGAGGGAGTCTCAGAAAACGGGGCTGGTTTCCCTGTGTTGAGAGGCACCCCCACCCCAGTTCTGTGGGTGGCAGGGGTCAGTTCATCTCAAGTCAGGGCTGTCCCAAGTCTGAGCCCTACCAGACGGAACCGGCCTCACAGACCCCAGCCTGCTGCTCACAAACACCTCACACACACACTGGCCCTCCAGGACCCCACATAGACACAGACTTGCCCACATGGACCCCGGCCTCCTGGTACCCCGACATATGGCGTGAGCGGGGAGGCAGCAGGAGGCACTGGCGTCTCCCAATGGGCTCCGGCTCTCCTACACCTCTGTGCTCCTGGAGCTGGAGCTGCAGGCAGGAAGGGCATGTTGGGGGTCCGGGCCAAGGCCCTCCCTCCAGCCCCCCGGCACCCCAGTCTGCCTCCCTCCATCCGATGTGCTTCCGCACCACATCTTCTCCCGGAGCATCTGGTACTTCTCCTCCAGGACCTTGTTCTTCACGGACTGAGGGACGTCAGGCACGAACCAGGCCGCGATGAGCTTGATGCACAAGGCCACGTGCTGGGGACAGGGCACAAGGGCTGGCTGGAGAGGTCAGGACCCACCTAGCAGGGGCTTCGGGGTGTGGCTAGAGAGAGCTGCCCCACCCCCCGACCCTTCCCCCGGGGCTGGCCCACCTCAAAGAGGATCAGGAAGACCAGGCGGATGGCCAGGAGGACCCAGAACTGCTCTGATAGGCTGTAGTCCTGAGCATTGCGGTAGTCCCGGTACCTGGGGTGGGGAAGTCACGGAGGTCAGGGGCCAGATCATCTGAGGATGCCCGTGGGGGAGGGGGGATCCAAACCTGCACTGGGTCACATTCTCCGAGCCTTCCGTCTGGATGGGGTCCTGGAAGTCCTTGGTGTAGAACACAGACAGGCTGTGGTTGACGTAGCCTGTGAGGCAGCTGGGGGAAGGGAGAGCAGGGGCCAGTGAGGGCTGCGGTGTGGCCCCTTCAGGCTCGCAGGGTGGTGCATAGCACAGAAGAAAGAGGGCCGGGAAGGGAAAGGACTCAGGGTGCCCCCGCCGGCCTTCCCCACAGGAGTTTCAGGGAGCCGTCCAGGGGAGAGGCCTGGAAACCCATCTGTAGCTACAGCCGACCCTTGGAGGGTTGGAGGCGCCAGGTAAGGAAACTCTTCTGTCGTCTCCTGGGGAGCAGCCCCAAGGGTCTGCCTTTGGGAGGGAGTCACTCTGGTGGGGTCTGCTCAGGAAACAGCTGGTTCTGGGACCTTCCTTCTGCCACCAGGGTCCCACCACCGCTGCGGTCTGCAGGTTGGTATAGGGGCAGGGCCACCCCCATGCTCCGACTCATGACAACCGCAGACCCTCCTGGCAGCATCAAGCGCTTCCCCCGGGGTCCCCTAGGGCTGAGCCGCGGTTTTCCAGGGGTTTTCCCAGGGCCAGTTTTCCCAGGGATCTCCAGACAGTCTGAGGCTCCCCCAGCGCCCCCTTACTCGACAGTGGGCTGGGCCCCCGTTCGGCACGGGCCATAGTAGTACTTGTACACCACTCGGGGGATGAACTCGGACGTGAAGGCGATGACCATTCCATTGGCAATGACAGCCAGCACGCCGATGGTCTCCAGCACCTGCAGCCAGGTCCCTGGGCCACAGCAGCGGGGTGAGGCATCTGGCAGGTCAAGCCCTGACCCTCCAGCACCAGCCGCCTCACCTCCAGCCCCCCTGCCCAGGCTGGGAGCCTCAGTGCTCGGGGGGACCTGCTCACCTCTGCCTGTGCCACTGCTCATGGCAGCCGTCGGCAGCCTCTGATGAGGCAGACATGGACCAGGAGGGGCTCAGGTCTCCCCTGACCCCCATCTTCTGCCTGAAGCCCTCAGCTGCCCCCAGGTTTGCTCCACTCCGGGGTCAGAACCCCTTAACCCGGGCCTAAGACTGGGGCCTCCCCTCCTACTCCTACTTCTCTCTCCCTCTGCCCATATCCAGCATCCCACCCCCTCTGCCCTTCCCTGACACCTGGCCATCTCAGAGAGGACAGTCTGGGTGACAGAAGCCACATCATCGTCCTGCTCTTAGTCCCTGCCCCCAGCTGCTGGACCCCTCCCTCCTCCAGCTCCCTGCTCTCAGAGCCCAGCTCTTCTGCCTGGGCCCCCAAGGGGGCCGCCGTTCCTTCAGCTGGCTCCCGCAAGGTGCACGCCAGCCCTGCCTCTTCCGAGCACCAGCCCCCTCAGGCCGATTCCCAGCCTGGAGAAGGGCTGGGGGCTGTCTGGGGAGTGAGGGGGCTTGTCTCGGAGAGCTCATTTCAAGGAAACCGGCACGATCTGGTCCCAGCAGCCCTCGCCGCCCCATACCCAGCCAGAGGGCCTGTGCCCCTCGCCACCCAGTCGGGCCCCTGACCGATGTCTTTGGCCTTGCGGGGCACCAGGCGCCGCTGCAGCCTGACCATCTTGATGGCGTCCAGGCGGATCTCCACGAGGTTGCTGAAGAGCGCAAGCAGCGGGGCGAGCGGGAAGGCGGCCACGAAGATGGTGGTGAAGCCGTACTGGATCACTGGGGGGTGAGGCTGGTGGTCACCGTGCTCTGCGGGGCACACCCCGCACCTGACTGCCTGCCCCGCCCACCAGGCCCCCAGGGCCTGCCCTGCACCTGGCTGCTGACGGGCCCGAGCCCCGGCCACCCCACGTACTCATCTCCATGAACTCATCGAAGAGGCTGAAGGTGCCAACTGGGTTCAGGAGGTAGTTGCGCCACAGGCCCCTGAGCTCGGGCTCCCCGGACGCACGGCCCAGCCTGAACCGCGTGAGGCGCCACTTGTGAGCCAGCCACCTAAGGGGCGAGCAGAACAAGCGGGGGACGGGCGGGTGCTGGGGGTGGACGGCCTGCACGCACGAGGGCTCCCCGGGGCGAGGCGGGCACCGGGACATCCCTGGGGGGGTCCTCACGGGCTCAGGTACTCCGCACAGTTGCTGAGCGTCTGCTTTAGGCCCATGATGATGGCCATCTGCAGGAACAGGTCCATCATGCAGCCGCTGAGATGGCACTGTGGGGGCAGGGCTGGGGGTCAGGTGTGGGGCAGGGCTGCGGGACAGGGAGGCTTGTGGGGAGGGCGGTGAGCGGCAGAACAGCAAGGGGTCCAGGACAGACTGACCTCCTCCAGCTTCCACAGCCCCGCCAGGCGCACAGACTTCCCGGGGTGGCCGTTGATCCTAGGAAGGACAGTTGGGCTGGAGGAGGGGCGTGGGACGAGGCTTCTGACTGGGTGGGGTGGAGCAGAAGAAGAGAAGGGGGAGTGGGGCAGGGAAGGGAAGAGCGCCTCGCTGCGGGGACACAGAGGCTGGGTCCTGGAAGCTCGGCCCACACCCAGACGCGCCCCTCCACACGCACTCGCACATGGGCACAGGTGAAAGCCCAGCTGTCCACAGGCTCAGACAGGTTCCAGGCAAGGCCTGTCCGGAGCGGCCGCAGTTTCCCCCCACTGAAACTATGCACATAGTTTAAAATCACCTACTTTCCATCACATGATAAAAAATACAAACTATATTAAACCAGAAGTCAGGCTTGTGGTCGACGGTCAGGAAGACAGGCTCACTTCTAAGGGCTTGACCACTGAAGAGTTGGATTGCAGGGTTGGGCCAGAGGTCCCCGAGACCCCGCACTGTCCCTTCCCCAGCTGAGCTCCAACCAACAGTGACAAGTGTCCTTCTGCCTCCAGGCAAGAGTCGAGGGACTGACAGAGCAAGAGGTCCTCATGGGAGAGATGTGGCCCAGAGCAAAGCCACTGGCACACGCCTTTCTCAATTATGGACAAGTGACATCTAGGGAAAGCCTTTAACAGCAAAATCAGAGACCAAGTAAAGAAAGTGCATGACCCCCCCAAAAAAAAAGAGCATAAAAAGAGCTTGGAAGAAACATAAGTGATACCAGAATAGAAGGAAAAAATGAGGCAAGATCCTCAGAGAAGACAAGCCGTGGCGTCCCGGTGCCACGAAGCGGACACCATGGAGGAACCGTGCCGAGCGGCCCTGGAAGGAAGAGCATAGAAGTGTGACAGTCAAAGGGCTGGAAAACAGAGTCGAGAAAAACTCCCAGAATCTGGAACAAAAATGGGAGGGAAAAACAGCAAAGAAAACTAGATGGTCAATGCAGAAGGTCCGGTCTGCAAACAAACAGAATTCTAGAGAGGGGAGCAGAGGGAACCAAAGACACTAGATGTGTAAGAATCGCTTGGAACTCAGGGACCCAAGGCTCCAGGCCCAGCAAATGCCTGGGAGTTTCTTTCCACGTGACTGATACTGAGTCTACACGGCAGGCCTGCCGCAGGCACTAACTCAGGGACATCAAGCCCTTGTGCCCCCTGCGGTAGAAACAGGGAGCAAACATGCGCATGGGGCCAGAGGGGACGTGGGGAGCCTGGGGGACCCGGGTTCTGGGCTGGACGGTGGAGCTGCCACGTGGAGGAGGGAGACTGAGGACAAGCCTGTGGGCATGGTAAGGTTGGGGTGCCCAAAGGGCATCTGGACCTGGGAGTCTGGACTCCAGGGAGAGGTCTGCAGACAGGAGTGCGGGCCTCACTGGTGGGTCTAGATGGTGTTTGAGATGGCGCCTGCAGTCCTGGGAACAGATAGCAGCGTGTTGCGACATTTAGAGGCTGGACGAAGAGGAGAAGCCGGCATCTGGGAAGGCTAGAGCAGGATCCGGGAGGGGGAAAGCAGGAGCAGGGAGGATGGGCCGTGGGGCGTGGTGGGGAGAACATTCCTTGAAAGGAATGGGACAGGATGCTTGTGTGGAGGTGGAGATAATACCGGACCAAGATAGGTGCTGAGGAGGCAGAGGGAGAGGAGAACTGCTCCAGCAAGCCCAGGGGAAAAGACCCACCAAGACACCCCGCTGAGAGGCTTCTGAGGACGGCCTCCCTGAGATTAGGGTTGGAAGACGTCTACCTCCAGCACGGGCTCCGTCAGGCCCTCAGAAAGAGCATCCGCTTCCCTCCGTACCCCTCCTCAGGAAGCGCCTGGAAAACCGGGGGTCTCCTCCACGGCAAAGAGCCAAGGGTTCCCAGGACAAACAGTGCCGTACAGCCCCAAGGGGAGGGGCGGTCACCTAGAGGGCGTCTCCAAGGACAGCCGGGGTCTGGGGACTGCCTCATGCCTTTGAACATGCTTGGAGGACTTGGGCTTAAGGTTCCACTGGAGTTTAAAATTCACTGGCAATATGCGTGTGTCTTTTGCAATTTAAGCAAATACACAGAAAGAACAAATGGAGCAATTATTTTCTTCAGAACAAAATTCAATGTGTTAAACCAAAAAAATGTTCATTTCACTTCTAAGACAGAGCAGGGGAAGTCCCTGTGAGCAGCTTTACAAGGCCCAGCGTCGGAAATCAGCCCGACGTCCACCACCTGAACGGATAAACCCCAGCGCATCCCGCAAGCCAAGGCTCATGCTGTGGTTTTTTAAAAACGAGGACTTGGGCGCCTGGGGTCTCAGTCACTAAGCATCTGCCTTCGGCTCAGGTCATGGTCCCAGGGCCCTGGGATCGAGCCCCATGCTGAGCCCTGCATCTGGCTCCCTGCTCAGCGGGAAGCCTGCTTCTTCCCTCTACTGCTCCCCCTGCTTGTGTTTCCTCTCTCTGTGTGTCTCTCTATGTCAAATAAATAAAATCTCAAAAAAAAAAAAAAAAAAAAAGAAAGAAAGAAAACGAGGCCTCACCCCCATGCATATGTGGGCCATGCCCATAGTACGTTTCAGCACCATGAGAGGATAAAATTATGTTCAGGACAAAACGCTGTATGTCAATAGGTGTGTGTGTGTCCTTGAATGTGTGAAAAATTCTGGGAAGACCCACACAATGGTTATGGGGTCACCTCTGGGGATGGGGAATAGAGTTGGCGTCCCTGGGGGATTCCCCCACACGTGTTTATATTGGGTGTCTGCTTGCTCCGAGCAGGAGTTTGAGAATGAAGACGAGCGGGTAGCCCCACTTTAAGGGGAGGGCTAGACGGTGCACGAGGTGGAGGGAGGCCGCCTCACCTGCCCAGGATGAAGGCGATGTAGACGAGGGACGAGAAGTGAGCAAAGAACTGGAGTGTGAAGAACTTGATTGTGAACTTGCTCTCGCGCTCTGAGAAGGTCCTGGGCTGCTCTAGAATGAGACGTGGGGCTGTCCCTCGCCCATTCCTGACCTGTCCCTATCCTGACAACTCAGGAACACCCGCAACCCTCACCTGTCTGCCAGGGGGGAGAGGCAGTAGAGGCAGCAGGAAGGGCTCCCTCCCCTGTCTGGGGATCCAAGACCCCAGCCCTGAATCCTCCTGTCCCTTTTTGCCCACCCCCCCCCCCCAGGTCCTTCCTCTCACCAAAGTCACAAAGCTTGAGGGCCACATACTTGTTGATCTGCAGGACGACCAGAAAACAGAGGGCTTACTTTGGGCCTCAGGGGAGGCCCTCCCCCACACCCCCTCCATCCCCACCCAGCCACCTTGGTCATGATGAGGATGACTACATAATGGACCAGGGCCCCGGTCACCACCACGGCTGTGGTCACCTGCTCTTCTTGGAAGAGCAAGGCGGAGTTGAAGAGGGCAGCAGCCAGCACACGGTAGACCACCAGGAGGTGGGCCATACCAATCATGAGGCAGATCTGTGGAGGGCCAGCCGGGACAGGGCTCCTCAGGTCGGCTGTCCCCGGCCCTGGTCTCCAGCCCCACTCCGGGTTCTCCGGGAGTACCATGAACAGAGACAGGACGAGGATGACCGAGCTTCTCAGGTAGGAGTGCTGGTGTGGCCGCAGCTCGTAATCAGGGCAGTTAATGAACTCAAGCGCCATTTCCTCCTGCGGAGGGCATAGACACACCTCAGACGCTGGGACACCTGCACCGCGAGGGAGACAGGCCCCTGGATCACCCCGCCGCCTCACCTGGTCCTCATCCCACCCGTACAGGTCCCAGTGCAGGACCACCCGGGCGCGCTGCCGCTTCCAGATCTCCAGGAACACCGTGGCTGCAGACGGAACCAAGAGGCGACACCACGTGCTCCCGGGGCTGGCGCCATGGGCGCAGGGGACAGGATGGCCCCGGAGCCCAGGCTGCCCCCCAAGCGCCCGACTCACCCCACAGAGCCATGAAGATAGCAAAGACCACGGTGCCCTCGTTGTCGAAGAGGTGCGTGAGCTGCGGAGAGGGGCGCACCTATTGCTGCCGGCCCTGCCCGGAGCCGGGAAGGGGGAGCCCAGCTCTGCAGGGGCAGACCCTCAGCTTCCCCTCCTCCAGGAAGACAGGCTGCAGCCGAGCCCCTGGGGCGGCAAACCTTGGCAAAGGTGCAGGTGTCCGAGAGCTGCTGGTACCTACGGCTGTGGTCGCCGCGAGGGCACAGGAGGACGTCGTGGGCCTCACAGATCTCCTTGCTGAGGGGGCAAGGACCGGGCTGGGGGCGGCTCTCCCCAGACCGCCCCGCCCCCGCCCGCTCCACCCGCCCCGGCCACGCCCCGGCCGCCCCGGCCACGCCCTCGTCCGCCCCCGCCCGCTCGGGCCACGCCCCGGCCACGCCCCCACCCCCACCTGATCTGGCTGGCGTTGAACAGGGAAAAGCCGCTCAGGAAGACGATGAGGCCCACCACCGCAGCGGGCACCAGCATGTAGGTGTACCAGCCGAGCCAGGCGAAGTACAGGGCCACCTTCTCGCCAAAGTAGTCCCTGGGGGCACAGCTGACCCGTCAGGGCCAGCCCCACCCGGGTGCCTCGCCCGCCAGTGCCCGCTTGGGGTGTGCCACGGGTGGGGGCGAGGGGTGCACAGCATCCGTGTGTCTGGCCGAGGAGCACAGACACATCTGTTTGCAGGGGGCACGGGTGATTTGGGGGGCATTTTCACCTGATGTCATCAATGGGCTGGCAGCGGACCATGTTTCTCCACTGGGCCCAATTCTTCTTCAGGCCTTCCTCCCCCTGAGCACCAGGGACAGATAGTGAGATCTTCCGTCTCTATCCGGCCCTCCTGCCCTATCCAGGCAGGGCCATCCCTTACCTTGTGCAGGGCGAATCTGGTCTCAAAGACACCACTCTTCAACAAATCCTCTAACGTGTCTGGTGGTCACAGGGAGTCGGGTCAGAGGGGAGCAGGGGTGAGGGGGAGCCCTGCCCTGCTCTCCCCATGTCAACACCCCTTCCGGGGGGCCGCTGCACAGGCCACCTGCCATCCTGTCCTTACCACCAGTGGCCGTCTTGCTGTTTAGTACAAAGTTGACAATGCGGATTCTGGAACATAAGAGCTGGTTCAGGTTGACTCTGCCTGACCTGGGTGGACCCCACCTTCCATCTGGCCAGGTCCCAGGCCCCTCTGTGTCCTGGTGGAGCCCCCAGCCTGCCTGCCTTGACTGCCTGGCCAGAGCCCAGAATCTAGGACTCACCAGGGAGCTCTTCCCCTGACCCTCTTGAGTCCTCCTGTGGCCCAGCTGCCCCATGACTCCATGATGGGGTTCCCTTGGGGGAAGGCCCTCCTCTCGCAGTGCTGGGTCCTGCACCATCCCCTCCCAGACACTGGGTCTAGACCCCCCCCACCTCCTATCACACCCCCCACCTGGAGCCCCCACACAGCCAGAACACATTCTAGGCCTTTAAATGAACAAATAAATCCTCATAGGCTGTGAGCCATTTTGCCTATGGGGAGACGGAGGCTCGGACAGGTTGAGAACCTGCCCAAGCCCACAGAGCCAGGAAGTGGCACAGCCAGACATTTGACTGCAGAGCCACAGTCCTCCAGAACATCTTCCTGTAAGACGTGGTCCCTCTAATGTCCCAGGGCACTCCCCCAGCCTGCTTCTCCCAGCCCCCACCAAGGTGCCTCTACACGACCAACCACTTGCACCTCCCAAAGACCAGCCAGTTCTGCATTCGCAGGAGTCCTCCGCCCCCATATCCAAATTCCAGGAGCGTTCTTGGCCAGTCTGCAACTGACCAGGTCCCAGCTTAGCTCAGAGGGGCCTGGGCAGAGGGGAGGCAGGTGACAGAGGAGGGATGGGGGGAGGGTGGGTGGGGAGGTGCAGGAGGCTGGACAATCAGAGGGGAGAAGGAGGTGCTTGGAGAGGAGAGGCTTGGGTGTGTGGGAGGCCGGGGACAGATGTCTGTGGAGGGACATTTGGTCTAGAGGGGGGAGGTCCGGACCCACATTCCAGGTCTTGGGGAGATGACAGGACAAAGTAAGGAGAGACAGCCGGGAGATCCTCCTGGCCTGTCCAAACCCTGCCCATCCTTCAGGGAACGTGGTCACATGCAACCTTCAGAACACACCATGAAGCGAGAACCATCTTTATCCCATATCACAGACAGACATGGACACTGAGGCACAGAGCTCTGTCCCTGAGACCTCTGACCTAACACCGTGCCTGCAAGCCTGACTGGACCAGAAACACAGGAGGGCAACGGTCCTCCTGGCCCCAGTTCTTGCCCAGCCTCTCACCTGGTGGTGGCTGGGATGGGGGTGGGCCTGGTGGGCTGCACTCTGGTGCCAGGACCCTCAGGCTCCATGAGGAGAGTGTGGTACAGGTCAAAGATCCTGCCGTCTGCTCGGATCCCAAAGAACACCTTCTCACCGTCCTCTATCATCTGGGGGTGGGAGGGAGCTTGGGGAACTCCTCTCCACTTTGGAAGCACCCCCCTTGGTGCACGGCCACTGGCCTGTCCCTTCTACTTAGGGCACAAGGCCACAGCCATTGTCCCCAGACCCCTCCCCAGGACACACCTGTCCCCTGACCCCAGCAGCTCTGGCCCCCTGCTCCACACCAAGGCAGGCCCTCCGCCAGCCCACCTTGTAATGGAAGCCCTTTCTCTCGAGCTCTTCCAGGAAGTGCTGCTGCCGCCGGACCTGCCCTGCATTTCTCTGGGTGCAGCGGTCAGCCACGAGGACATAATCCCACCGCTCAGGGGCCTCAGTCTGGAGGAAGGACGAGTGGGGCTGGGGCTGGCACAGGGCACAGGCCAAGGGTGGGACTGAGTCTGGCTGGGGCCCCGGGGGAGACTCACCTCCCCAGGCCTGATCTCCATCAGCAGGAAGCTGTCACCTTCAGTCCCAGTCAGGATCCTGACTCTCTCCTCACCCTGGGGGCAGAGGGTAGAGGAGGACAGGATGGGGCCAGCAGCACAGCACCTCCTGGGCCAGTGCTCCAGCCCCAAGGGGGAAACACAAAGCTGGGGGGCAGGACCACAAGAGAATAATAGGTAGTTCCAGGTGCGGCTGGGGCTCAGTGCTAGGACACCGTGGAGGGCAATGGGCGGGGAGGCCCTGGGTGACTCCCACAAAGGTCTGTTTAGAAACATCAGCAAAGGGGCGCCTGAGTGGCTCAGTGGGTTTAGCCTCTGCCTTCGGCTCAGGTCATGACCCCAGGGTCCTGGGATCGAGCCCCACATTGAGCTCTCTGATCAGGAGGGAGCCTGCTTCCCCCTGCCCCTGCCTGCCTCTCTGCCTACTTGTGATCTCTCTCTCTCTCTCTCTGTGTCAAATAAATAAATAAATAAATCTTTAAAAAAAAAAAAAAAAAGAAAGAAACATCAGCAAAGAGCTCCTGAAATCCTTCAGAAGAGACAAGCAGCAAATAGGCCTCACAGAAGAGGAGCGTGGGAGAGCTAGAGCTGCAGGTCAGTGGCCCGGAGCCATCACCTTCTGCCCTCTCGGTCACAGGCATGTCAGTGGCCTGACAGCATTGAAGTCAACAGACTCCGCATCATGCACGGATTGGGGAAACAGAACTGCACATCCTAGACCACCCAGCCCGGCCCATCCGGCCCCAAACACAAGGAAAAGGGTACTCACAGTAGCTTATTTCATATAAAAATCGTGCAAATAACCCTAATTCCCACTAGCACATGGATGGCACAGCAGAAAACCTCCCAGCAGGAAGGAGGACTGGCAGCCGCCACCCATGGCCCCCGGGGACCCACAGGACAGGGGTCTGAGTTTAGAAAAAGGAAGTCCAGGGAGACTCCTGCAGGAGTGCTGTAGGTGCACCGGGACAGACAGACGGGTGCTGAAATCAGGGGCAGAGCCTTAACAAAGGGACCAGCTATGCACACAGCCTCCAAGCCTTTCCCCACAGTGCCACTGTCCAGCTCTCTGGCGCAGCCCTGACGGGTGTCACGAGTCCTGGCCTCTCCTCGCCTCCTCCCTGCAGACCTGCCCTCGTGGACTTCATAACCAGTGAAGAACGTGTGGGCGGGGAGAGAAGCCCAGCAATGGCCCCCGCCCCAGGTGATGAAGGTCCAGGTCTCCATGATATCGTTTAGCTGTGACCCCCTCCCCCGCCGCCGATGCACTGTAACCCGGTAGTATGTAGCCTCCTCCCTAAAACAGATCCCTTTCTCAGCTGAAAAGGCCTCAGACTCAAGACTTAGGTGGCTGCGAACAAGGAGGGACAGAGGGACCGTCACAGATGGGAGGAGGCTGGGGAGACGTGAAGGTAAATGCTGTCCGGGATCCTGCACAGACCCGGGCCCAGGGCAAGGACGCCAGTGGAAAAGCTGGTGCCGTCTGAGTCCCGGCGGCCGGGTGGTGCTCTCCGTGCTGACCAGAGCCCCGGGCGATGGGGCTGTGGCGTGAGGGGGAGTGAGGCAGAGGGTTAAGAAAGCCTCCCGCTATCTTCCTACACTTCACAGTTGTCCTACAACCACAGAAGTGGGGATAGGGGCAGGGGCCTCAGGCTTCGCCCACTCTTGGCAGGTAGGCAGACAGCAGGCTGTGAGGCTGACCCACAGTGCCCCGGGCCCCATTGTGGGGGCACTGAGCCACTGAGGGGTGGCGGTGCAGGACGTAGGGAACAAGGGCAGATGGTCAGGTCACAGGCTGAAGAGGAGACACCGGCTTCAGAGCCCAGAGCCCGGGTTGCCCACACCATGTGCCCTCAGGCCTGCCCGCCCCTCCCCACCTGGTTGCAGGAAGCACCCCGTGGCCCAGTGCAGCGCTGGGCACTCTGTGTGCACCCATGAGAGGATCCCCGGCTCTCTTCCTAGCTGGCAGCTCTCCCGGGAGGCACAGGGATCCACAGAGTCCCAGGGCTAGGGTGCGGCTGACACACTGGGGGGCGGGCTCACCAGAGCACCCCATTTCGCGCCTTCTAGGCTGGCAAGTTCTGGCCCTGCCTGCCCCTCTGTGGGCACTGGGCTCCTGCCATGGCCTCCTGCCAGGCCACCACCCCCGCTCCGGGGCTTGGGAGCTCAGAGCAGCTGGTGGCTGGGTCTCTTCTCCAAGCTCCCCCCAACAGGACTTCATCCCCGCTGAACCGCCCAGCTACTCCCCTTTCCCTCCACAACCACATTCCAACAAGCTTAAGGCCTGCCTCCTTCAGAAAGCCTCCCTGGACTGCTCCAGCCAGTCTGGCCTGGAGGGCGGCCAGCTAAGAAGCAAGCTGCCCTGTCACACTTGAATTTAAGATACACAGCAAATCCTCTGTAGTATAAGTATGTCCCAATTGTGGCATGGGACACACTTGTACTAAAAAAGAGATTTTTAATGTAAAAATTGAATGTAACTGGGTATCTGGTTTTTATTTGCTTCAAAACCTGCAACCCTAGTCCAACTCCCCAGCCACACCCATAGGCACAGCAACTACTGGCCCCAGGATGGGACCTGGGTCTGCCCACTCCCTCAGTCCCAGTTGCAGAAGACAGAAAATGGCGTCCCATGCCGCCATGGGACGGCCGGCTCTAAGCCCCCCGGTGCCAGGGTCTTCTGAAGATGGGCCTGATACAGACAGTTGCTCTGTGCCCCAAGGCTCCTGGCGCTCCCGCATGGCTCATCAATTCTAAAACTCCTGTCAGAGGAGGAGGAGAAACCTGCTGTTCACAGACTTGCAGGATGGCGGGGGGACCCTGGGCTGAGGTGCCTCTGTCCCCACAGCACGCAAGGAGGGCATTCAGGTCATCAGCGTCGGGTCCTGTGGCTTGTCTACCATGGGGCTCAGTAAGTGTTGTCCTGGGGAATTGGTGAGTGCCACCGATGGGCAGGAAAGACCTCATGTGCTTGACTTCGGACCTGGAGGAGGCTCTCCCTGTCTCCCTGCCCAGCCCCGAACTGAGCTCCTCCAGCAGAGACGGCCAGGAGAGACCCCAGCATCAGCGTGGGCCTGAGGCTGAAGACCAGGACGAGCAGGGGAGGGAGCCGGGAGCCCAGGGTGGGAAGGAATGACACAGGGATCCAGGCAGGCGAGGGAGCCTGGGAAGAAGGGCCTCTCCCAGAGCATCCCTCCAAGGCCCGGCAGTGGTGGGGAGGTGGGCACCAACTGAGTCACAGAAATGAGGCCACTGGGCCTGGTGAGCTGTTGATCCGGACCACCCCTTTCCCGACCAGAGACACTGCACACCTTTGGAAATTACCCAGAGCCTCTGGGGAAGGGCTGACTTGACCTCCTCTAAGGGTTGGCATGTGATCCGGACGGTGGAGAGTGATGCCACTGAAGGTATGCGATGGGCACTGACCATGGATCTTGGCCACTGCACAGAGGGACCCCTGTGTATACTGGTCAGCCCTCGGCAACGGGCAGGCAGCCACAGGAACAGCCAGGTCACAGCCCGCCCCCCCCACCAGCTCCAGTCCAGCCACCCCTTCCCGGCAGCCGGACCAGGACCAGGTGCTGAGAATCGGCTCCCCATGTACTCTGGGCTCACCATCCCCGAGGTCACCTGCTGCACACAGATCCCCTCTGTGGGCCATGGCCACAGCCACAGTCTCTAGGATCAGGCTGTCCCTCAGTCCATTTGTCCTCTAGGGTGAGAGACCTTCACAGATGGGGACCTCGTCCCCACCTCCAGCCAAGGCAACTGCTCAGTGCTCCCTGAAGCAAGGAGTCTGGGGTGCCTGCGTCTCCGTCCCCCAAGCTCTACCTCCAGGGTGCTATGTGCACCCATTAGGCTCCCAGCCCCCAGGGCAGGGACAGGGGCTGTCCCGACACACTTAGCCTTGGAGATCCCAGCCTTCCCTGCCCTGTGCAGGCCTCAGGCGAGGTCTTGCACAGATGAGGGGTACAGACTGGGAGACCCTATTGTTCTCCCTCTAGTCCTTCCAGAGTCCACCCCCCTGCAGGCCACACGCCTAGTGGGCCAGAGCCCAGGGCTTAACACAGGCCAGAGTCCCAGGGGGCTCACCCACTAGTTCCCAATGAGGGGACTCCTGGAGACACTGCAGGCCCCAGGAGACACTCCCTCCACTACAGCATAGAACATGAAGGGGCAGAGCTGGGGGAGTCCTGCCCCCGTCCATCCCTTCCCAGTGTGGTCCCATCCCCAGTGGGGCTGAAGACACTGCTGTGCAGACATGACTGTCCCCCAGCTCCTGAGCAGGGGGTCTACACGGAACACACATGTGTGACATTACCCCAGCAACCAAAGGAGCACATTGAGGCCTCCCCTCACTGCCCATGTCTCATCTCACCCTGAGGTCACATTGTGACCTCTGGCTGGGCCCCATGAGCACCCTGCAGTTTCCTCCTCCAGCAGGGGGACCCTCCTGCCCCCACCAAAGTGTGTGGACACAGAGCAGCCCACCCGTGCTCCCTCAGCATTCCTGGGAGATGAAAATATGCATGCACAGGACCTGAGGGGCAGCAGGCAGTCAGTGTCCGGGACCCGGTACTCAGGACCTCCCAGAAATTCAGGACTCAGCACCTTCGAGGACTCGGTAATAAGTACTCCTGGGGACTCAGCACTTAGCATTTGAGCTTAGCAGAAGCATAAAGAACAAGAGAGCAGCCCGAAGGTGAGGCTGGGGGTGGGCAGGAGCCAGTCATGGAGGCTGCTGGGGCAGCTGGGGCACTTAGTCCGCTGGGGGTCATGGGGAGCCGTGGAAGGGACTGGAGCAGAGAAGGGCGCGCTCAGATCCAGCCCAGGGCTGGAGGCCCAAGTCCTCCCTGCTGTCTGCTCCTACATTGGCATACGTCCCTATCTTTTTCTTTCTATTTTTTTTTTTACTTGAGAGAAGGAAGGAGAGAGTGAGCAAGAGACCACAAGCAGAGGGCAGCAGGCTTTCCGCCAAGCATGGAGCCCAGTGCGGGGCTCGATCCCAGGACCATGAGCTCATGACCAGAGCTGAAGGCGGGTGCCTAACCTCCTTCGTCACCCAGGCGCCCCTGCACATGTCCCTTTCAAAGCTTTGATTCCTTGCCTCAACCAGACCAGGTGCTGCCCCACTGCCCCAGGCACCCCCAAGTCTGTCCTTTACCTGAGCTTGGGACTGGCAGGGAAGGAAGGGGCTGGCAGGGCTCAGGCTGAGTGAGGTCTGGCCATAGGCCAACCTGAGCAGCCAGGTGCCAGAGCTGGGTCTGGCAGGCTGAGGAGGCGGTGGGCGAAGGTAGGGAGAGAGGCCACCTGCTTGGCCCACACTGGGAGGGCCCTGGGGAAGCTGAGTGGGAGGCTGGTTTCACTCTCCACCCCAGCACGGGCCTCCTCCCGGGGCCAACCAGGCACTGGCCCCAGCCTGGATGGCTTCTTCCTTGGCAGAGGGGAGAAAGGATGTCTTCCTAGGATGTTTTCTTGCCTGCTTCCCTGGGGGTCCACAGCCTCCTGCTCTGCCCCCCAAATCAGAACCCAACAGCCCCCAGTCAGCCCCCAACCTCTGCCTGGGGGAGGACTGAGGGAGCAGAGGGCTCAGCTGGCCACCCTGGGCCTTCCCCAACCCTAAGTCAGCCCATCCTGGAAGCCAGAGCCCCCTTTCCCTTTGCAGGACAGAGCTGCAAATTCTGGGGAGGGACACGCTCTCCTCATCTCCGTCTCACACAGGCGCAGAGGGCCTGGCCTGGGGTCCCCAGTATCCCGGGCTGGGCAGGAGGAAAGCTGCCCTCTGTCTTGCTCCAACCCCCAGCCTGCCCAGGGACTCTGTCTGGGCTCTGGCCACCCTCCCCTCAGCCTTGCGGGCTGCAGGGAACCCCCACAGGTACTTTCCAGGTAATCCTGGCAGGGCTCCACAGGTGTGGAGCAGGGCGGGAGGGGGGCATGGCCCGGCCACAGGTGTGGATCCCCGCACGCTGGACTCACCTGCATGCTGGCCTTGGAGTCTGGCTAGCCCTGGAATCTCTCTAGGGGCTGGCATTCAACTGGAGTGTGGCAGCCAAGCCAACGGGCGGGAGAGTCCTACCTGACTTCCGCCTGGGACTCACCCCTCCCTCCTTCCTCTCTCCCGCCTCCCTCCTCCCGGTCCTGCTCCATGTGAACCTTCTGCAGGCACACCCCAGGCTGGAAGGAATACCTCTTCCCTGCTCCCAGGGACCTTCCTAGGGACTGAGTCATGTGGGGACCCTTCCCCACACTTGAGGGCGTCGCCCTCACCTGCGGGAAGGGTTCCCCTGTAAGATGGACGTAGACTGGCCTCTCCCTCCTGAGGGGAAGCAGCATGGGCAGGACACACGAGGATGCCCCAACATCCCCCGCTCCCTGCTCACCTTCATTCTTCCAGACCGCAGGCCACACTTGCCCTCCAGAGCATCTGGCCCTTGCCTCCCACCCCCCCAAGTCCAGTGTTGATTTCCTTAGAGGAGAAACTGGGGCAGGGAGGATTGAGGATGAGAGAGACCCCAGGAAGAAACTCCCACCCTGAGCCGCTGCTTTGTGGACCCCATCTGGGGGAGGAGGGAGCTGGCCCTGGGCTGCAGGGACCCTGTGCTCTAGGCAGCAGCTGGGGAAGGCTCTGGATGCCCCCCGCAGCAATGTGGGGGGCTCTGGCAGTTGCTCCAAGGCTGAGGACGCAGGGCAGTGGCTCCACAGGACAAGGCATATGGAAACATGGAACGGTATGAGGAGGCACCCCTGATGTCACAGGGGGCAGGGAGCGCCCCCAGGGTCAGGGTCAGCATCCTGCAGCCCATGCAAGCCTGCGGTTCAGACCCAGCAGCGGCACAGATTTGCTCTGTGATCATGTGGCCCCACCGCACCCCCATGGCTGCCTAGGGGACCCCATGGCAGGCTGTGACAACAGCAGGGACCAGGACTGAACTGAGGTGGCGAAGACAAGAGAGGGAGCAGCAGAGAACCTGTGTGACTCTGACGGAGCAAACCTGGACACACACATTAAGACTGGTGTCATGGCAAGCCCCAGTGGTAGTGGCTTCAACAAGTCCATTTCTATATATACAGACCTGGCAACATACATATTGCTTTTTCCATAAATGAAGTCTGGGGCGGGCCAGTCCAGGACTGGAGTTAACTTGACTTGCTGCTCTGCCACCTGAAACACTTGGTGGCACCACATGGCTCAAAATGGCTGCTCAACCTCCAGGCATCACACCCCCATCCAAACCAGCAGGAAGAGGCAGGAAGGGCACTCCACCTGGCACGTGGTCCCATGGCCTCAACCACCCTCATGGAAGCCTAGGAAGTTGGATCACTTTTCCTGTTGAAGAAGGTAGAAGGAGGGGTGCCTGGGTGGCTCAGTGGGTTAAGCTGCTGCCTTCAGCTCGGGTCATGATCTCAGGGTCCAGGGATCGAGCCCCGCATCGGGCTCTCTGCTCAGCGGGGAGCCTGCTTCCTCCTCTCTCTCTGCCTGCCTCTCTGCCTGCTTGTGATCTCTCTCTGTCAAATAAATAAATAAAATCTTTAAAAAAAAAAAAAAGAAGAAGGTAGAAGGATACTAGGGTCACCCCGCTGTCTGCACAGGCCAAAGGGTCTCAGACGGCCTATTCGAGTTCAGAAAACTGTCAGCAAGGGCTTTTGAGCCAGAGTAATTCGAACTCAAGATCCAGGTTGCCAGCCAGCTCCTGGCCTCCCTGTTTCCTGGTCTCCAACTGCACCGGCTCAGGATGTCTGCATCTACAGTGGCATCATGTTAAAACAGCCTACTAATGGGTTTCCCCTGGCCCAGATACCACTACGGGTGTCCCCAAATCTGTGGGGTCTCCCCGTCTCTGCTTGGCATTCCTGTTTGCATTGCCGCAGAAACACTGCTTCTCAATCCCACTTCCGAGGGCCTGAAGGAAGTCCCGTTACGTCCAAACCCTTGCTGCCCCTGCTGGCACAGACAGTGTCCCCAGCCTGGCTGGGAGAGCACGGGCCTGGCCCCACAGGAGAATAAGGACAGATCCCATCCAGGCCTATCTGGAGAGAAAACAGGGACAGCCCTTTGGGAAAACAATTCAGCAAAAAGGATCAGAAGCCTAAAAATTGTTTATGGTTCGGTCCATTAATTCAACTTTTTATAAACTATCCTAAGGAAAAAAATAATGAAAATGTGTAAAAATATGTCCTTTGAGGCAAAAATTGTCAACCACTTAGAGGCTCAGGAACAGGGAGCTGTCTGAGCAAACATGATATGTCCATACACGGACTGAGCAGCCGCGAGATAGTATGCTCTCAAAGAGTGGTGAGAAGACGGGGGGCGCCTGGGGGGTCCAGTGGGTGAAGCCTCTGCCTTTGGCTCAGGTCATGGTCTCGGGGTCCTGAGATCGAGCCCCGCATCAGCCTTGGCAGGGAGCCTGCTTCCCCCCTCTTGTGATCTCTCTCTCTCTCTGTCAAATAAACAAAATCTTTAAAAAATGAAAGTGATGAGAAGACAGGAAAAGGCTTATGCAATGCTGTTAGGCGAAGAAACACAGATCACAAACATGTATATACTTTGTTGTCTCGACCAAGTTAAAATACATTAAAATACTAAAGAGTGGATTTAATATTTATGCTCGTATCTGCTTAATGTTGTGAGCTGTTGATGGATAGATTTGCTTTTCTTCCTTTCGTTTCCTTCCTTCAAATTTTCTACAACACACACATCACTTTTGTGAACCTAATTATTAAACTTATTATATGATAATTCTAAAATCTACGATTATGGACTTAACTTCCCCAGATTCGGTCGTCCTCTTGGCCTTGGTCCTGGATGCATCGTCTGAAAACGTGGCAGTTCAGGGGTCAGCCCCTTGCCCGCAGTGTGCCCCCTCCCCCGGCTGCTGGCAGAGCCGGCCCGCAGGCCTGCTGCTCTTCCCCTGTGGACCCTGCACCAGCTCCCTTTTCCTTCTTCCTCTGAGCTCCAGAGCACCCCGCCCATCTGTCGCCTTCCCTCCGAGGGCCAAAGTGCAGCAGGCGGTGGGCCCTGTTCCTGCCGTGTCCAAGGCTGCCTGACTCCCAACTGGGGGGCTGCTGGCCGCAGGGTGACAAAGCCTCCGGGAGTGCCCCAGGTGAAACCCTGCAGGCAGGAAACGCAGGAAGGATCGCTGCTTGTCCTCAGCTTGTGAATCTGCCCTCCCAACCCCAGTGGCTTGGGTGTGATGCAGTTTTGGAATGTCGGCGAGACTGGTGGGGTCTGGAGCCCAATTCTGGAGACGTCTCCGGAGCAAAGTGTGGTCTCACTGAAGCGCGGGGGCAGGCCCGGTGGGCAGGAGGCACCAGTGCCGCTCCCTGCTGCCCTGGGTTATGAGGAGCAAGTGATGACACCCTTGGGGCTGGGAGAAGGCCAGGCGAGGGAAGTCCCCGGAGGACTGCCGTTTGTTACCAGAGACCCAAGATCTCGGAGGAATGTCACACTCTGCCTGTCGCGAGAACCTTTCAGCGGGCTGACATTTAATTTTATCCACATTTCCTTCTGTCTTTGTTTCCCACATCAGATGTGGCCCAAAGACACTCAAAGTCTCACTGAGGCCTTTTCTCAGAGGCTCACAGACAGGTCAGCGTCCCACGTTCTCTCTGCGCTGGTCCCAGATCTCCCCTCCCCGCTCTAGTCTCTCTGGCTGACAGCCCCTGTCCGGGGCAGGGAGCTCCCTGGGCTCAGGGCCCTGCAGGGGAGACTTTCCCAGGCTGAGCCCATGCTGCTGGGGTCAGCCAGATGCTGGCCCTTGCCTGTCATACGAGGGCTTCAGTGTGGGGACCCCAGCCCCTGATGTCCTCACCCCAGGGACAGTTCTGTCTCCCAAGTGCCGTCCCCCAACACCTCTGGCCCTTAAATTCCCACTGGTTTCTGTTTTCTGTCTTAAGGAACAGAGAGCCGTGGCCCCTAACCCTCCACCAGCCCTGGAAGAACTGGGGCCGAGTTCTCTGGACTCCACTCACCCTGACAGACCCCGCAGCAGAAACAAGGGTCATCGTCCCTTCGGAAGCCACAGCTTTCTCTGCCGTCCCTCCACGGACAGTTGAAGAAAGCATGGCTGTCCGTATTCTCACTGTTGGCCACCATGAGTGCGAGTCCTGCAGGCCAGGGAAGCCTTGGGGCCTGAGGCTGGACAGACCCATGGAAACGTCAGTCCAGATCTGTGGCTCTCAGGTGCGCTTACGGGACAAGCTATTCCCGAGGAAGGCCAGAACTCTCCCCTCTGTGGCTGAGGAAGGTCAGAGCCTCTGCACCCTTCCCCAGGCAGGGCAGGTCTGAGGAACCAGGTGATGGACCACGTCCCCAAGCCCTGCAGCGTCCCCTGCCGTGCGGCGTGTGTCTGGAGGGAGTGGTCGAGACAGGAACTGGCAGAGGCGAGACCATGATATCAGGCCCCAGGTGCAAAGCCGCAGGTGGAAACTCCCTGCAGGATATGGTGGGGCGGGGGGCTGTCAGGAGAAGAGCTCCAGGCTCCAGTGGGGAAGGAGCCGAGGGGGGGATGCCTCAGTGTCTTAGTCTCTCAGCCAGAGATTAAAAATGGACCCAAGGGGCTGTGAAGGTCACAATAGTTAACATTTGTAAAGCATTGGAAGCTCTCACTGGCATGTGGCCAAAGCTTGGTGACTATTGTTAACTAACATGTGGCCAACTGCACACAGGGCAGAGGGCACCCATGGGATCCGGCCCAGCCCCTGCCCGGTTCCACTCTGGCCCCACCCGTAATGGGCCCGATCCCAGCTCCACACACACACCACCCTCACTCCCAGGACAGGCTCCTGGGATCTGGCCCTGCCCCTGGCCAGTCCTGCCCTGTTTAGCTTCTGTGCCCGTGAGAGACAGTGGCCCTCTCCGTGCAGGAAGGGGGTGGCTCCCGGCAAAATTTGGGAGAAACACCCATAGCCAGGAAGCAACAGCGGCAGGAATCTGAGTCCCACCAGCTCGGGTGGAGAAGAGAGGTCCTGAAGGACGGCTCCGG